ATATATACAGATACACACATACATATGTACATATGTACATATGTAAATACATGTACGCACATATACCCTAAACCCTAAACTCTGAGACCCTATAGTCCTATAGACCCTAAATAACCCTAAACCACCCTTTATAAAGCCGCATGCTTCAGGCTGCTCTCCGAGAGCCTTTGCACGTTCAGGGTTGAGAGGCTCCAGGGGTTTAGGGTCTTAGGGGTTATGGTTTAGGGTTTAGGGTTTAGGGGTTATGGTCTAAGTAGGGTTTTTAGGGTCTTGGGGTCTAAGTAGGGTTTTTAGGGTCTTGGGGTCTAAATAGGGTTTTTAGGGTTTTAGGGTCTAAGAAGGGTTTTTAGGGTCTTAGGGTCTAAGGAGGGTTTAGGGTTTAGGGTCTTAGGGTTTACGGTCTAAGTAGTTTAGAGTATAGGGTCTTCGGGTTTGCAGTCTAAGGGTTAAGGGGTTTAGGGCTTAGAGTGTGCAAGCCACACCCGAATATGGATTGTTTCAAGTTTAGTTCAGGCCGTAGCGGCCTTCATGATTCGTGGTTGACGGATTGAGAGATAGCTCGATTATGAGGGGCTCTATCCCTAAACCCTAAACCTATACTCAATTGCCCATAGTACACCTTGTCTGCTGGCAGTAGGCACCCAACGAGCCGGAAATCTCAAAGCACAGTTACGGTTCAAGGTTTTTAGTGCTTAGGAAACCCTATAAACCCCTACACCTTAAGCCCTAAACCTCTAAACCCTAAACCCCTAAACTCCTAAACGCTAAACCTCTAAACCTCTAAACCCCTAAACCCGGACGAAAGGTTCCTGGTCTAGGGTGTCATGCACAAAGAGCTGCCAGGGCCCAGCTGGACAAAGACTTTTCCAAAATCCGGCACCACTCTCAGTTTGGGGGCTTTGGTGTTTTTAGGGTAGGAGTTTCGGTTGGGCGAGGGCTTCACGAGTTTAGGAGCTTTGGGCTTTAGGTTTTGGGGTTCAGGGCATGGCATCCGCAAGTTCGATCGCCACCTGAACCAATGCCTGAGCAGGGTCAGGGTCCTTTAGGGGTTTAGGGGTTTAGGGTTTAGGGTTTAGGGTGGTTGTACCTGCTGTCCGGCCTCTAACTCGAGGAACCCACCACATCCTGGCCCCAACACTGCGAGTCCATGGTTTTCTTAATGCTGTCTTGCCGTCCAGGGGTTTGGGGGTTTGGGTTCGACTAGGACTAGGCCCTAAACCCTACACCCGTAAACCCTAAACCCCTAAACCCTAAAGGAACTAAGGGGCCACAAGGTATTTCGGGTCCAGGGGTGCCAGCCTCAGTTCCAGCTTGCAGAGACAGGACAAGCCCTAAACCCTAAACCTAAAAACCTAGGCCCTAAACCCAAACCCTAAAAGCTGCACTTTAAACCTAAAAACCTAGGCCCTAAACCCAAACCCTAAACGCTGCACTTTAAGCCTAAAGCCCTAGGCACTAAACCCAAACCCTAAATGCTAAACCTTAAACCTAAATCTCCAAGCCCTAAACCTTAAATCAAGGGAAGCCCCGAAGCTGCAAACGTTGGAGAGGAACTGGTAATATAGGAGCCTGAATAATGATCAATATTATTCCTAGGGGTTCCTTATTATAACTATACTGTAAAGCAGCCCAAAACCCTATGATGACTATACTGTCTATACTATAAAGGAGCCCAAAACCCTATTCTAATGATTAAGGCCCCTACATTACATGCGTAGGGTTTAGGGTATCAGTGGCTGCCATCCTTACAATACAAGCGGAATTGAATCTCGCAGTTTATGATCATCTCAAGCTTCGCTGAGGGGCATGAACAAATTAGTGATGGCATTCCTTGGGCTTGCCCACTCTTTCTACACTATGACGTTTCGTACCGTCCGAAATTCCAACGCCCCTTTTCGTCGTACCCCTCGATGATGCCAACCAATTATGTCCCTTAAACCTTATATAAACCCTAAACCCTAAACCGTGAGGACGGCACTGGGTCCAGCCTGCAAGGCCTACAGCCAAGCCAGGAGAGCTCACTGGCCGACTACTGTGACACGGAGGGCGGATATGTTGCCAGTAGTATTCCTAGGGGTCCTTCTTATAATCACAAGGTGTACCTCAAAGGCCCGATTCTAATTCTCAAGGCCCGTGTATTAGAACATCCCCTGCTGCTTTGGCCAACCTCTGCAGCTCCTGCTCCTGCTCCTGCAACTGCTGCTGCAAGTGTATGACTATAGCCACTGAACCTGCTACCGCTGCTGCTGCTGCTGCTGCTGCAGCAGCTGCTGCTGCTGCTGCTGCTTCTGGTCTCTGGTCCTCCTCCTGCTCCTTGCCTGGCTCCTGCTGCTGCTACTACTACTGCTACTGCTACTGCTACTGCTTTTGCTGCTGCCACAGCCACTTCTACTTCTTCTGCATTGAGGTTAAACAAACTGCGAGCTCGACAAATTTCATGCTTTAGTGCAGAAACGACGCCTAAACAATGGCCGACACTATTCCTTAAGGGTTCTGTATTGAAGTTACGCTAATGCCATGCCTGTTAACCCATTTCTAATTATTGAGGATTCAGAGTAGTAGCCATCAAATTTGTGGGGACAGCAGCTTCGCTAATTGCGGTAACGTAGAAATCGAAGTTGAAGTATTCGTATCCCCCTTAGCGTCCTCACTCGGGCTCCTAAGGGGCTCTATCTTAGCAGGACGAAGCTGCTTGTGGGCGACCCGATGACGAACCAGCAGCTCGGCTAACCTCAAGCTCGCGTCCCATGGCCAGGGGAGAGCCGAGACCTGTCGGTTTAGGGTTTAGGGTTTAGAGTTTAGGGTTTAGAGTTTAGGGTTTAGGGTTTAGAGTTTAGTTAGGGTTTAGAGTTTGGGGTTTAGGGTTTAGGGTAAATTCGGCTCAACCAAAAAGGAACTACAATGGAGACTATATAGTCAGATCCGGTGGAGCTCTTGTACGCCTTTCAAAGGATCTGTGCAGAAGTCCATGAACAGAAGATAAGACTGCAAGCCTGGCAGTTGGGACTCTGAGCTCTTTTTGGAGGGTTTAGGGTTTAGTGTTTAGGGTTAAGGTTTCAGGGTTTAGGGCTTGACTCAGCTACAACGCCGCTACAGAACTAACCGAAGATGCTCCGACAAGGCCGCAAGCAAGATCAAGGATGGAACAAGCAAACCCTAAACCCTAAACCCTAAACCAAAGCAAGCTTTGCACTCAGGAAAGCGGTGTCACAGGAGTGCCTGAAGGCGCAGGCGACAAATCCCGTCGCTTGGGGAGGATCTGGGGAGTTGCAGGACAGGTTCAGGGTTTTTGCTTAGGGCTTTCAGTTTTATTCATTATGGTTTGAAGAAGCCGTAAGACTTTGGCCGTTGCGGTATCATGCCGCACTACGGCCGTACCAAACGGCACAGGACCGGAGAGGCTTCGAGAAAGTTGTGTGCGCTGTGTAGGGTTCGCTGCTGGCCGTTGTTCCTACGACTGTTGCGGGCAGTCTCGTTCGAGCCTAGCAGAATTAGCTGAACATCATTTGCAGTTGGTCTATGGCTGCAAGATGTGTAATAATAGAAGCCTAAGTAGGGCTCCTTTTTATGAGTATGCATTTGAAGGAGGCCAAGACCCTATTCTTATTATTCAGGTCCCTACATTACGCCTGTTGACCTATCGAAGAATTATGAGCCAAAGACACCTTTGAATTCCCGAGGGGCCCCCAAACCCTAGGCTAGGCCCTATAGGGTTTGCAGGGTTTAGGGTTTAAGGTGCGGTCAAGACGTAATTTTGCAGGGCATGACCTTTGCCATGATTGGCATCGGTGAGAAGGCGGACCTACAGCGAAGGGCATGCGCGGTGGGGATTCTGCCGCGAGTTTGTGGTGTCTAAGTGTGTTGCTGGAGATATCGAGGCCCCGTCAGTGCATAATTTCTCGGTTTTGCCGCTTGAAAACCTGCCGTGATCTTGACTTTTTTGGCGCAGATACAGAAATGCTGACCACGAGGGTGATGTTAGTTAATGACAATGAGAACATCGCCCATCATCGGCAAGATCATCAGGTCATGCTGCATACTGAGTCATACTGTGAACTGGTGTTTCGGAAACTTGGCAACCCAAATATAGAGCCCACAAGTACTAAGATCCTCATTGCAAGGACCACCCAAACTTCTTACCCTAGTTTACTGAAACTCTCTTGCTGGCATGGGCATTCTCCTTGTGCATGTATTGCCTTTGCATTCCGAGTCTTCGTCGATGCTGTCCCAAGGGTAGGCGATAGTCCAGCAATCGCCGTCGTTGTCGCAATCGCAGTCGCAGTGCCACTGGAGGAGGAGCAGAAGTAGTCGTAGCAGCCGCAAGGATCCTCGCACCGTACTTGGAGGTTCATGGGTAGTTTGAAGTGGAGTCATAATTAGAATAACTATATATACTTATAACCCGTATCATGAAGTGGAGGTATAACTAGAATAACTATACTTATAGCCCATATTAGGGGACGTATAACCCCACCTATAACTACCCGTGAACCTCCAAGTAGACTCGACACTAAACTGCAGACAGGGCCAGGGGTGCACCGACACCTGTGCTCTGCCAGATGCTCAGTCGGTCGCAGTTGGTGTTATAGTGCAGTCCAGCGCTCTTGGTGAGGAGCATGAGTTCATCCGTTTTATGAGGTCTTACGTATTAATGGGGTGTTCAGCTTACTACACCGCCGTCAAACAAACCGGAGATTCTATGTTGCTGTGATCCGGGGTCCACAAGAGGTGTCTCTTCTGTCACGCTGCGATCTTGCTAGCATTCTTGCACTCCAGCCTTGTGATTGTGTAGTTTGGGTTTAGGGTTTCTGGTATTCACTTTCGCTTTTTTCTTTTTTTGTTATGAGGTTAAAGTTCGCTCTATGCCATCGCCAACAGCTAGTTGCACTCAACATTTGCAGTGCGCCCCTTGCTGCATTCCGCAGTTTGGTCTCTTACAGCCAATTGGGCTGAATTGACTCAGTTAGCGGTTGGGCATAGCTTCCCCAAGTCGTCTCTACATGGATTCAGATTCGCTGGGCAGTGAAGCTGTGCCAGACGAGAAGACAGCGATTCCAAAAATCGAGCCCTGTGCTGCGGGTGGCCCTGCACCTTTGCAGCAAGAGCCCATCGACCAAGAAGGCCTGGAGGATGATGAACCTTGGCGTTCTTCTGGTTGGCTCTTAGGGCTTTATATCACCTTTTGGGTTTCTATATGAACTATAAGAAGTAGAGTACTAAAGTTTTTAACTTTTACGAGGGGATCAGAAGTCAGCCAAGGAAATTCAGACACGAATTGATCTCCTCAAGGACTTGCTAGTGCGCCTTAAGGTCACCAGGCCGGAGGTGGTAAGAGTGACCCAGGCACGACATGCACTTTGGCGCTTTGGACGTGCTTTGCGTGAAGGGCACAATGGACCCGACCGTTACCATCAAGGTGAAGTGAGGCGACAGATTGCCCAGTTCTGGTCACACTCCTGGCGTGGCAATAATACTGTGTCCAAGATTCTGCTGCTTCTTGTGGTGTACAACGGCTTGCCAGCCGTTCTGGTTGGCTCGGCGGCTTTTGTGTCCGTGCGGATGTGCCTGCAGCCGGAGTTTGAGCTGCGGCCTATTGTGCCCAACTCTGCAGCTTGGAGTATGCTGGCGGGCGTTGTTCTCTCAAGCCTCACGTTGCTGACATGGCCATCTCGCAGACGAGTTTTTCTGGATAGAATCTGCATCCACCAGAAAGACGAGAGGCTGAAGGCCGAAGGCATGCTCAACTTAGCAGCACTGTTGAAGTATTCGCAGAGCATGCTGGTGTGTTGGGATCCAAGCTATATGCAGCGCATGTGGTGTACGGTAGAGTTACTTGGTCAATCTTACACATCCTTTCTAGTTTTTGTTATTTTTATGTTTAGCTTGGGTTTCCTAGTTCTAGTGCTCTACATGCGAGTCCCATAAAGGAACCTTTTTTTCTTTGACGAAACGGACCCAGGTTAGCCGCGTACCTGAAATGTCATCCAGAGGGTCCACTGATCATAAGGCCTATCGGCTGGGGACCATGCACCATTGCTGGGTTCCTGACTGTGGCCATAATGCTGGCGGTAGCAGACACTTAGCAGATGGGAAGGCAACTTTTAATCGGTTTAACCCTTTGGGGGGGTCATATCATCCTGCCATACCCTGAAAGGACAAGTTTAAACTTTGTTTGGGCTAGGATACTCAGCCTAAGGTCATTCTGCTCGAGCACTTTGAGTCTGAAGCCGTAGAGGAGGTGGTTGCATTTGTCTTCGCTGCCTCTGTGATGGTTTTCATGTATTTCACGACTGCTGTGGCTCGAGCCCACTTTCGGGCTGCAAGTACTGTTCAGGATCAGCTGCGGACTTTCTCGTTCCACAATGACACACGCTGCTACTGTTGCAGCGTGAACCACGTGAACCCCAAAACGGGACAGAGGATGTTTTGCGACCGCCAGGCTATTAGTGGATGCCTAGAACACTGGTTTGGCTCCGACACGGCTTTTGATGCTGTTGTCCAGCAAGACGTTTCTGCAGCGTTCCAGCGCGGTGTGATGAGCTGTTTGCTGCCATATGCTTGGCTCACAGGAGCTACGATTCCGATTGCGTGGTTAGGCGTTGATCGTGGACTTCGGAATCTGTGGTACAACCGCGACTCATGGCTGGCTTTCTCTAACTTTACCTACTTATTGAGCATGTGGCTGGGAACCATCCCTGTGCTCGTCGCGCTATGGCTGCGGATCCCGCGTCGTTTTCAGCAGCGCCGATCTACAAGATGCCGGGAGGTGATGCTAAACATGGCCTGCTCTGTCTTAATCGGCATCATGTTTTTGGTCGTCTATTTGACTCATTTGGCCATTGTGGTGTCTATACCAACCTATGGGATCGTCACATGCTCAACCATTTCCCTACTTGCCGCAGCCATTTGCTTGGGCGAGTGGGGAAGATTCTTTCGTCGCAAATCTCCTGCTTAGAACCTCCCACGCTAACGACGACCGACTCCACGTGCATCCTTCCACAAACGTGGGCTGTTCGATGCATTTTCAAGTTCAGTGTTTGGGATGTACAGCTTGTGTCATGAGACTGCATGCTAACTTGTTGAGCGCTTGCCCTCCGGTACTTTCGAAGTACCGGAGTACGCATGAACACATTTTTTCTACTTGCAGAGCTCAACGGCCTTAAACCCCAAATCCCTCGACAGACTTGTTCTCATGAGTGGTGGCATCCAAGAAAAGCGAGGTCACCCAGGGCCTCGGGCTAAGGGACCCTTATCTTTAGATCTTTGGGGTTTAGAGAATTTGGGGGTTTTAGGGGTCCAGCGAACCGATGCATGAAAGAACAGGGACTGTCGGTGTGAAGATTTGGAGCCTCAACTTTCTTTAGGTCTTGTATAGAGCTTTAATGTATTAATGTTTCCCGCGCCCAACAGCAATCCAAGAGTCCGGTAGCCAAAAGCAGTAAACCCTACGCCTCCGCCCTTATAAATCCCGTATAGAACCCCTACGGGGAAGCCTTAAGCGGAACCCTCAAACGTAAACCCCAAGCCTGTAAGGATTATAGATCTGCTTACAAGGAACCCTTAAAACCAAAAACCCGAAATCCAGATAAATCGCGTATAGAACCCTTACTAGGAGCCGTTAACGGGAACCCTACGCCCGAATGAATCCCGAATGCCTTAAATCGAACCCTAAACCCGAAAGAACCCATACAAGGAACCCTTGAAATGAAACCCTAAACCTTCTAATCCCTAAACCTCTCCTTAAACCCTAAACCCTAAACCCTAACCCTATAGACTGAGGAGCCCCGACGACCAGGATGCCGTCTGCGACCGAAGCGGTTGCCATGGAAAGTTGAGGATCTCTCTCCTAGAACCCTAGATCCTAAACCCTTTGGTTTCCACGCTGCGTGTAATGACATGGTCCTTACATAGGGTTTTAGGGTTTTTGGGTTTTAGGGTTTTAGTATTTTAGGGGGTTTAGCGTTCGAACGACATGGTCCTTACCCCTAGGCCCCTAAGTAGTTCCTTTTTGGGATTGCCTTATAGGGTTCTAAATATAAACCATTAAAAGGAACTACTTAGGGGCCTATGGTTAAACCCTATAAACCTAGATCCTAAACCCTACCAGCACCCCCCCGAGTACCCTTTATAATAGGGCCCTTATGGTCCTTAATAGTGGGTACTTCGGGTATAATAGAGGGTAGTTGGGGGTGCAGGTATAAGCCCTTAACCGTAAAGAAAGGGTAGTCTCAGGAGGTCTTCAATGGGGTTTCAACTGTGGGACTTACAGGGTTTTGGTGAACAAGGTTTAGGGTTTAGGGTTTAGGGTTTAGGGTGGGAGGGTTTATTGGTTTAGGTGTGCACAGCAGCCCCTGCTCTCCCCAGAAAAAGCGATGCAGGGAGATCAGGTACTTCAACTTACGGGATGAGGGTTTGGGGTTTAGGGTTTAGGCTTGGGGGTTTAGGGTTGAGGGTTTGTGGTTTGGGGTTGAGGGTTTGGGGTTTAGGGTTTAGGCTAGGGGGTTTAAGGGTTGAGGGTTTAGGGTTTTGAGGTTGGGGGTTTGCGGTTTATGGGAGTTGAGGGTGCAGGGTAATGGTTGGGGAGCGCTCCAAGGTTTGGGGGGTTTGGGTTTAGGCTTATGCTGTTTCGGCTGCGGCTTGTGCTTTCGGGGGGTATTGCGTGAAGGAAGTCTCTGGAAGAAGCGTCCTGTGCTCTGGTTTTAAATTTCCCTGGAGCCAGTGCCAGGACGAAGAAGGATCTCGAAGACATCCTAGGCGGCTGGATTTGGACAAGGGGTTGGGGATCCTTTTGGGTTAGGTTTTGAGAGTGTTGAAGGTTTTTAAGTTTAGGTTTTGCGGTGTTGAAGGTTAAAAGCTTTTAGGGTTAGGCTAGTTTAGGATTTGGAAGGTGTCGGCTTCCTTGGGTGCAGAAAAATAAAAAAGAGAGAGAGAGAGAGAGAGAGAGAGAGAGAGGGAGAGAGAGAGAGAGAGCCCTGCCGAAAGAAAGAGAGAGAGAGAGAGGTAGCTCGATAGACAGACAGATAGATGGACAGATAGGTAGGTAGTAGATAGATAGATAGCTAGCAGCTTTTGCACGATTTCTCGGGGCGGCTCAGGAGAATGCAGGAGTTGGAGTTACAGACCAGGCGGTTTAGGGTTTAGGGTTCAGGTTTAGGTTGAGGTTTAGGGTGATGTTTAGAGTTTAGGTTTTGGGGTTCAGGAACTAGGAAGCTGCCCAGGCAAAGGGGACGACCTGCCACGCACATTGAACAATACAAGGTCACGTAGACACTCCCTGGAAGCGGTTGTCAGAAGGGGCTTTTCCTAGACTTGGTAGAATTCGGCGGTATGGAAACCCTAAACCTATACATGCCTAATTAGTAAATGTCCATACACTCGCAAGTCTTAAGGCCTGCCAGAGCCTCAACTTCTTCACACTGGTTCAGACTAGGTATGCTGTTTTCAGATGCAAACAGTTTTCAAGGACACGGGGGTTTGGTTCTCAAGGAAGTTCCGGCACTCTGCAATCCTGAACGAAGAGTTCTGAGAATTTCCGAACCCAAAGCCCTTCGCAACCTGACTGAGCGAAGCTTGATTCAGTGGGCAGGTGGTCCAGAATGGAGAAAGCGGAAGCAGGAATTGCTGGAGGCATCAGATGCATCAGCCGTCGCTTCTACAGTCGGCCACTTCCAGCGAGTTCTTCGAATCTGTCACTGCGGAACTCTCATCAATGTCACTATCAGCAATGTAATCACCACTTTTTCTTCATCATCATGCCAGACAGCTAGGCTAGGCATATCCCAAACCCTAAACACCAGCTTAGACCGACATGCAAAAGCTTCTCTTAGGAAGCAGCCGGGCACACAAGAAAGCATCGAATAGAAAACCATGTCCGTAGCATGTTTCGAGGTAAAGGCAAGAATTGTTTAGAATCGTAGGGACTTACAAGCATTGAGAGCTCTTAAGTTTGAATTGATGCAAGTCGCTGCTACATGGGACGAGGCACATGGCAGAAAGCAAG